TGCTCTCATCTTCAAATCACTGCAGTGACAATTATTAGTACAGACACCTTTCTATTTGTTCAACAAGACACTAATTACTGTTAGGGATCTGCCAGTTGTATTTAAACAGAACGGTTTTTTCTTAAAATATGAGAATTTTTTAAAATACATTGTCAGATTTTATTATAAAGAGCCAAGAAATATGCAACGGTTAAATCAAAGGCACTCCAGTTGGGGCTGTAGATTTGTTTTACTGTTACAAATATGTATTTCGCCAAATTTTGTTTAGAGCTCAGATAATCAATTATTTCAAAAAACAAAAAGGCAATGTACAACCTTTTCCGCTCTTTTGGGTTGACAGTAAAGTTGTGTGGCAGTATCCTTTAGTATATATGACCGTTGTGAACCAGTATCCACCAGAGCCCTAACTACTTTCAAACCTCTATCTCCTTTTATGGTCACCCGCAGCGTTTGCAAAAATATTTGAGTAGACGTATGATTAGCTAGCGTATGTTCCTTAAGATGACCACCGTTTGGTTCCTCCGACGTGGATGGTTCACCCTGCTTGCCATTTCCACCTTCCTGCTTAGTTGTTGCGGGTAGCTCAGAGCACATTAAAGAGACGTGAGACCGACTACATAACAAACATCTCATCCTGCCCCTACACTGTTTCGACTGGTGACCAATTTTCAGGCAACGAAAATAGGCTCTCCGTTTAGCAACCACTTCTTTCCGTTGTTCCAAGCTCATTCTTTGGGCTTTAAAACAGGCTTCGGACAAGTGAGTACCTGAACAAAACAAACGGCGACTAGTGCGACTACTCTCTGCATTAACAAGACCCAAAGCAGTTGGTTCGTTATGAAGTCTGTCTTTTCCCCGTCTTTGTGCAGCATAGTTTCCTCCAGAAGACCTCGTACCACCGGCTAAACCAAAACGTTCAGCCGCTGAACTTCAACTTTTGTTTAGAGGTTGTGTTGGTTAAAATCAATTTTAATAACTCCCTAACATATACCTCTATTTGAAGGTCCTCCCTGCCGAATGCTTTGCATGCTTTCTATAATTTTATTATTGTTCTCACTCATGGCGGGATAGCTTTCAACAAGTTGTCGGGCACGACTTCCAGGTAAAGTTGCCTGAATTAAGTATTCAATTTTATCATGGTTGTCTATACTCTCATCTTGATGAACTTTTTTAAATTGAGCCCAAAAAGCCAACCTGCCGTTAATGCTACCGTCATAGTGTTTGAACTCAATTCGAGGAAGTCTAAATTTACGCATACCTGTGTGGTTATCTTCGAAACTGACGGTACTTCTTCCATCAGCCCTGTTGTCACTACTTCCAGTTAGGGCGCCTGATTCAAGAAGCTTGTTACATTTCAGCCGCAGTGTAGTGAATTTCTTGGTATAGACATCACAGCCTTCTATATCAGATTCAAGTTCGGCGGCTGTCGACGTTTCCAACAACAGGTCATACAGTTCACAGTCAATTTTGCTCAGAGAGTTGAATTTTGACTAATATTTCGAGGGAAACTTGTATAAAATCTTTGTCAGGATTTTCCGACTGTAACTCCACTTCTAGTTCGTTTGCGGTTCGTGTTAACGCACTCCGGTACGGGGTACGGCTTTTCTTTGTAACTTCAAGTCCCGTAGCCATGATAAACGTTTTGCAAACCCGATTCAAAATCACTCAAAGTTTCGAGGTTAAAATGACAAAGTTCGAAACCCGGTAAAAGTTTGCAAAACTCAACTACGCTGGTACGGATTTTCCACACACTTTTCAGAGTTACACAGGTGTTTACCTGCTTATGCACAGACCGAAACGCTCTACTATTTCTTTCCAGAAAATGTCCTGTCACGGTCGCCAAATGTTGTGCACCAAAAGAAATTACCCGTTTCAAAGGGCCGTCGACGGGTTCGTTAAATAAAACTACCGAGATGTCTGTACATAAAAACTTTCTCCTCAAGTTCCTCAGAGTTCTATTTTGGGCCCTATGCTTTTCCTGGCGTATGTCAACGACCTGCTTTCTAGTGATGCCAATGAACACTTCACTCTGTATGCTGATGATACAAAAATTTCCTTTGTTGGGGACACTCTGGAGTCTGCGTGCGTTGGATTCATGAGCGCGCAGGCCAGAGATGGGGAATTGTTTCGGTCAAATAGGCTACTGCTAAACGGGAAAAACAAAGAGAATGATCTTTGCAATGAGGGACGTCGGTGACTGTGAGAACGCTTTGGCGGAGGCAGATTTCTTGGGCGTGACCCTGGACTCTGGACTGCGGTGGGGACCTCATATTGACGGGGTGGCCAGGAAGCTGACCAGGGGCGTCTATGTACTTAGAAGTCTCTCAGCCCGTGTCTCTCTTCATGTTCTGAAAACGGTATATTATGCCTTCTTTCATTCGCACATATTCTATGCGATTTTGGCTTGCGGACAAAACGGGTGTCAATAGACTGTTCGCAATTCAGCGGAGAGCAGTGAGAGTCATGGTGGGCATCGACTACAGAGATGATTGTAGAAGGGCCTTTGCTTCTCTTGGAATACTTACAGTTTCATCTTTATATACAGGGTGTCCCAAAAGTAATGGCACAAAACAAAATGGTTGATTCCTGGGGTGAAAATTTGATGATTTAATACAACTTACCTTAGTCCAAAAGTTGACGGTTGCCGACATACAGGGCGTCAAAGTTACATATTAATTTCAGTTTTTTGTTATTATACTTTGAACGGAGCTGCATATTTTAACGAAATTTGGTACACAGGGATTCATGAGCATAAGAAATCCAAATCTATCATCAGATTTTGATCAACTTTTAGAAAAAACCACTTACGGCGATATCTGAGCGAAAAAATTCTTTTAACTTTTTGGTCACCAGGTATTCTGACTTCTAAACTGATTGGGTCTAATCGCATATTAATTGTGTACAAAAAATATATTCTCAGTCGATATCCCAACAAGCCTCTGTTTCCGAGATATCATTCTTTAACAGTAGGATCTTTTTATCTTAATCACTAACAATAAAACATTAATTTTCTAAAGCAGTTACTCAAAATGTTAATTAATAAC